ATTGTGTCATTCCTCTGATGCCGTAACACCAGATCCAACAAGCAGCATCCCAGCCTGACTGAGTCGAAAGTTTTCCGCACATGCTGTAAAAAGATCCATAATCAAGATGCAAGTGTCATGCGGCATTTTGGCATGAAAGTGTGAAAGAGCCGCGCACTTACTGGTCATGCGGATGTGACACGCAACAGCGCCGATAATGATATCTACTCCATTGTCAAAATTACTAAATTTGAATCGATCTTCATCGTTCGTGGCTGATGCGTAAGGAGCCATGCGGTGTTTAGCTCATAACGCTTATGCTTCATGCTTGAAAGTTGCAGCGGCCGCCACATCCGACGGCGCTTTGCATGCGGAGGTATTATGAACTGAGAAGGACTGACTCCTGCATTTTTTTCCCGCAGTTTACCGCTGTCCTGGGCACTCATGAAGACCACCGGGCACCCCATGTCAGGCCTGTGCGATGGCGTGACGTCATCATCAGCTGACGACGGCTCCTGTGACGTCAGCTTCCCGCGCTGCGCGTCTTAGCTGGGCGGTTTACCGGCAGTAGGTGAATCTGACCAGAGAAATGTTGGTTTTAGAGACGCCACTTTCTGGAGGCGAGTGAGTTATTTAAATGAGAGTTGGTGCTGTGTTTGCGTAATTTGTGGCAACTCAATGAAGAGAATAAGGGGGAAAATGTATGCGATACCTATCTGACTGTGAATAAGCATGGTGGCATTATGTTCTAATGGCATTGCTTGGGAGTAGTCCAATGGATGAGGACCCGAAATCAATACATAGGCATTATTCTGGTTTTGTGACATGTAGAGGGCAGATGCATGGGGGTCATGCTATGGATGAATAATTCGGGTTGGCGCCAGTTCGTAACGCACCTCGAAAACTGCATTTCTTATAGACAATGTGGGGCGCATCGTATGCACAGTTATGTAATTTCCCCCTAAAATATACAGATCACCAAATGACCAAGCATAGACTTGTGTTATGCCAACGAACACGTGATTATATCATAAGCTTCGCTTGGAAATCAACTGTTGGGTGGAACGACCTCTGACCTCCGCCTATCCATGCCCACCGATTGACGCGTTTGAACACTGAACTGAGCGAACGGACAATTATTTCGACACTACTGAACCCGCGGCAACAGGCACGGCAGGAGGCAAGCCAGACCAGCACATGCATACCGAACGCTAGTTTTGGTACACACTGGAGTTTCTCTGACAGGTAACTATTTCCAACGCGACACGGGCGTCGGCACATCAGAAGGGGATGTGTTGTCTCCAATCAGTCGCTAAGTGTGCTCCAGTATAGGTGGCGCGCGACTCTCAAGGCCTGGGGCGCCACCTCGCTGGCAAACACGCATTACGAACTACCCGGCCGTACGACGGGAGCGAAGCCTGGCAAGTGGATTTGATCATGTTGGCCGCGGCTCAAGACCCAGCGGACAGCGGATGCCTCTGAAGACCCAGTCCAGGCTCAGCGGGCGGCGGGTGCCTCTGAAGACCCAGTCCAGGCTCAGCGGGCGGCGGGTGCCTCTGAAGACCCAGTCCAGGCCCAGTGGGCGGCGGGTGCCTCTGAAGACCCAGTCCAGGCCCAGCGGACAGCGGGTGCCTCTGAAGACCCAGTCCAGGCCCAGCGGGCGGCGGGTGCCTCTGAAGACCCAGTCCAGGCCCAGCGGGCAGCGGGCGCCTCTGAAGACCCAGTCCAGGCCCAGCGGACAGCGGGTGCCTCAGAAGACCCTGTCCAGGCCCAGCGGGCAGCGGGTGCCTCTGAAGACCCAGTCCAGGCTCAGCGGGAGGCGGGTGCCTCTGATGACCCAGTCCAGGCCCAGCGGACAGCGGGTGCCTCTGAAGACCCAGTCCAGGCCCAGCGGACAGCGGGTGCCTCTGAAGATCCAGTTGGCTGAATACCGCCATGAAAATATCTCTACTTACCACTACATGCTAGTTCCCTTTGTAACAAATGGCGGGATACTAGTCTGACCCCACAACAGTTCACGGCCACTGCGTTACGACAGCCACAGGGCAGTTGGCGTCCAAAGTGTAACGGCAGTCACAGGGCAATTCACGGCCACGGTGTAACGACGGTCACAGGGCAGTTGGCGGCCAAGGTGTAACGACAGCCACGGGGCAATTCACGGCCACGGTGTAACGACGGCCACAGGGCAGTTGGCGGCCAAGGTGTAACGGCAGTCACAGGGCAATTCACGGCCACGGTGTAACGACGGTCACAGAGCAGTTGGCGGCCAAGGTGCAACGACAGCCACGGGGCAATTCACGGCCATGGTGTAACGACGGTCACAGGGCAGTTGGCGGCCAAGGTGCAACGACAGCCACGGGGCAATTCACGGCCACGGTGTAACGACGGTCACAGGGCAGTTGGCGGCCAAGGTGCAACGACAGCCACGGGGCAATTCACGGCCACGGTGTAACGACGGCCACAGGGCAGTTGGCGGCCAAGGTGTAACGACAGCCACGGGGCAATTCACGGCCACGGTGTAACGACAGTCACAGGGCAGTTGGCGGCCAAGGTGTAACGACAGTCACAGGGCGGTTGGCGGCCACGGTGTAACGACAGTCACAGGGCAGACCACACATCACATCGCCAGGAACGGTTACAGTTCACAGCCACGGTGCAAGGACAGCCACATAGAAGACCATACATCATGTTGCCAGGAACGGTTACGGTTCACAGCTACGGTGCAACGACAGCCACAGGGCAGACCGCACATCATAACGCCAGAAACGGATGCAAGCGGGGATATCACGCTACAATCCATCGCTAGGACCCGGGAGGCCCCTCGGACGACCTGGAGGCCTAGCTGGAGCCCCTGAAGCCTCGGGCGGCCGCAAGCTGCAGTTGGAGGCCACGGAGGGCCACAGGAGCCTTGAGGGCCTCTCTGCCGCCAGAGGCCCCGAAACTGAGGTGAGGTCCCGATACTGGGCCTCGCAAGCCGAATAGGTCCAGGACCAGGGCCGTGGAGTGTTAGGGAGACCGCTCCTGAGTCGTTCGGGGCCTCTGAAATGTTTCTGTCGCTGAGACTTCCGTCAGCCATGCTGCCTCGGCACTAGGCAGGGAACCCCGACACTGAACAGGGGCTCCGTGCCGGCTAGAGTTTACATCAACCGAAAAGGGGAACAGCCGTGGCCCTCGTAATTAGTCAAATAAGCTCCTTATACGTCACTAGGGGACTCATGACGCAATGATAGGTCTCCTGTCGTCCAGGGGTCCAGCATGGGGCAAGACCTGTACCCGTTTGGAAAATTGAGCCATTTGAAAACGTTTTCCCTTGAAAAATTTGTACCCCGCTTAAAAAGTTGCGTAAATAGATGATTGGCCCCCGGTAGCCCCGCTGGCAGTTATAACCCCTCGTAAATGTATTGGTCTACCTCTGCCAGCCCCCAGCCCGCAACCAAATCAGCCGCCAGCTCACGTTCAGATCCGATCAGCGCCCAGCTCACGTCTAGGTTAGAGCACGCGTCTAGGTCACGTCTGGGTTAGAGCGTCCAGCTCATGTCCAGATGAGATCAGCTGCCAGATCATGTCCAGGTCAGAACAGCTGCCAGCTCACGTCCAGAGCAGATCAGCTACCAGCTCACGTCCAGGTCAGATCAGCTGCCAGCCCACGCCGAGATAAAAACAGCCGCCAGCTCACGCCCAGGTCAGATCAGCTGCCAGTGCTACTACAGATCACATCAAATGCCAGCTGACACTTAAGTAAATTCAGCTGCCAGTTCGCGCCTAGATCAGATTAGCTGCCAGCTCAGGTTCAGATCAGACCAGCTGGCAGCTCAGTTTCAGATCAGACTTGTTGCCAGCTCACTCTCAGATCGAAACAGCAACCGGCCCAGCGCAACTTAGTTATGGGGGTTTTGCAGTGCTGGCTGGTGTGTTACGCTTGCGTGTTTTGCGGCAATCGTTGCGTCGCATAGTGATTGTTTGCACACAGAAAATGAAAACCACACAGTCGATCTCTTCAAGTCTTCATAAACACATATAACACCTCAGATTTTGTCAGTCACCTTTACAAATTGGTGGCATCGGATCATCCCCATCACGTCCAAAAAGTGCATAAGTCACTTCTCAGCCTCGTACCGGATTATCTTTGGATCGGAGCATACGTAGTAGCGAGCTCAAACCCGAAAGCCTCAAAATCGTTCTCTCGAAACCATACCACGTATGGATAAGGCACGTACAATTTCATCAGCCGGGCTGATATCGGTAACAGCGGTCACCATATGATTTTCAAAACCTGAGAACCATTTCGAGGCATTCCTGCGAAGTCTAAATGCCGAAACTGCTGCATCAATCTCAGCAAAACAGGAAATTAATCGTGTGCGGTTTCATCAGCTGTTCTGAAGCAAATGACCTTGGGTCACTATCTTCAATGTCGCTGTCTTTTGGCTCTTTCCCTTTGGTGTATTCACCCCATGACAAAAGTCGGGAAATGGTAACCCAAGAGCACCACTTTCAGAGAGACTGATGAAAGCGTGCACAGCTGTTCCTATTTTGGTAAATGTTTCGAGGAAATCCGTGATGCCGTGTCCAAATTCTGAGTTTGGACTTGGCTGTAATCCCCTGAAGTGGCTTGTGCGATTTTTAACGTGGACATAGTGGTCGGTGGTCGCCAAATTCAAAACTCACAATGAAATCACATCTGGTCTGTCTTGCTCTTGAAGGATTCGAGAGGTGGTTTGCAGTTTCCAAAGTTTGACATGCCTGCAGTCCTCTGGATTAGTGGCTAGGTGGCTTATGCGAGTTTTTAAGCTGAAGAAAACGACCTGAGATGACTAGATTCAGACCCAGCCAAAATTATATATTTCCTTTCGCTTGATGATACCTTGGAGAAAATCGGTAGCGTGGTTCCTAGCGTTAGATATTAGTGGCATAAGACGCGGCAAAGTAGTGCCGGCCTGTTCAGTAAAGTAAGCGTGGGCAGCTCTGCCGCATATGTGGCAAAATTGGCATTGTTGGTGCAGTACTTGTGCAGTACCCGCCGAGCTTTCATGGAAGGTCGAAATCGTGTGGTCGCGTTGGGCCTCTCACTTATTCCGGCCTTGCGCGTGCGGGTCTTTATTTGCTATGTATGGCATGGCGCGTGACTGTTGATGTTATGCTAAAATTTTGAGGAGATTTGTGAGATTGTTGCTCTAGACCGCTGAGTTTGTGACAAGAACCAAGATGAGCTTTGCTGTCGTTACCAAGCTCCCTAAGGTCAGACAACTGCTTATGCAATTTTAGATACATTGGTGCCTTTGGGTGATTCTTAAGCTAAGATAAACATGCCATCATAAAGTCATTTTTGCGATGATCTGACTATTTCACAAAAGCTCTGGATATACATCTATCATTATTGGTTAATTGGTTACTTGTATTACTTTCATACTCAGATTGAGGCTCACCTCTATGAAGTCTGTGTTGTATTAAACCACATTCAGTTATCATGCCTCTTGTGGAAAGGCGATTTGGATATCCAGGCTACTTTGAGTCCCACCAATTTCTAGATTTAACTCAATGTTCCAAACATTTGCATTTTTCAGACAGTCATAGCCACTGGGTTTGAGCTTGTATGCAATATATATATATATATATATATATATATATATATATAATATATATATATAGATAGTCATATTAAGGAATGTGCTATGCTGTTAGATCATAGGTTCAAGAATGGGGCACAGTGGATATCATGAAACTCATGTTCCAAGAATGCTGAACTTTGACATTGTTGTCATATGCAGATCAAATGAAGTTCAAAATGTGTTTTTATTATCCTTCTCTCTTAAGTGCCTCATCTGTATAATTTTAAAAAAATGTTGATAGACTGAATTACAATTTGTGTTGCTTCATGTCCTGTGTATGCTCTGTCAGTTGATAAAATCTTGAACACTTGCCATATATCAAATCACTTCGACCTTTTTCACAGTGTTTCCAGTTTGTGGCACCTAGCTTGCAGAGGTCAATCCAGACTTCAGCAGCATGCTGCAAAGTCAGCTCAGGCCGATATAAAGTTACAAGAAATCGTGACAAACCACTCACCTACGAGCAAGCCAATCCACCACACTTCATCTTTGTCAGGAAGGGATTCAACTCCTACAATACTTGTAAGTGTTTATAGCAGGAGACAATAATGCATAGCCCATGCAGCTATGTGGTCTCAAATTTGGTTGACAAAACTTGTTTGTGTGGGTAAATTGCTGGCTGCAAACAGGCATGAAAGTGGAAGATGCCACTGAAATAACATTTATAGACATGCATTCAACAAAAAAAGAAGAAAAATAGTTAGAGCCATCTACATTATGTAATGTACAATAATATAGGTAAATAATCTGTCACAAGACATATGTAAGAGCTGTGAAATACCTTTGCATGCCTCCTTATACAAAACACAACTGAATAAATAGGCCTACATGAACACACCTCAGTGAGGTCGATTGGTATATTTATGGAAAAATCTTGCCATTTTCACCATGTTACTGGCAACGTGGAGGATGAATCAAGTCATGGGTTCCTAGTCATCCAAGACTCTGATAACTTTGGTTTAGATTTGTATTGTCACCAAACCCAGCTGAAATGGAATGTAATGAAAATAGTCTGTAGTTATGAGTAGTTGTATGTGAAAATCATTTGTCACCAGTCCCTCCATTCTGTGCAAGATTGCCACCCCCTTGTAAAACTTGCAAGGTGCTGATGGCTCATCATCATTGGATCTTTATGATGCACTCGTCTGCTGAGGCAATATGTCTATATGGCCTGCTGATGGCTGCTTAATTTAGGCAAATGTATTTACATGTATGTATACCATTCTCTTTTCTCAGCAAATCTTCTTGATGGTGTGAGGCCATCAGAGACAGCCATGGAAGATGTCTTTATCAGGAAGTTTATGACTGGAACATGGCACAACATGTTCTTATCTGAGGTAAGATGCATTCCCAAAAGGCAGATTGAAATGCCATGAGATGGTGGGCACCTTGAGGTACTAGGCTTCTAGTCCAGCCTTATCTTAGAGGCATTTTGCTCACATTTTTAGTTCTGAATATACAGTGTCATGTCTTGTGCGTGTGTTGAAATTGAATTTAAAAAGGCATCTTAAAACATTGAAAGATGATGCCTGATGTTCTAGACAGTTATGGGTAAAACACATAATAAACTGATCATAGTTTTGATCAGAATATCCATGTAACAAGCAGTACAAGCATGACAGATCATCACTTTGCAGTAACAACTGTGGGCTGTATATCAACTGAAAAAAGAGGGCCAGAGAACGGGATGAGATGCCCAGCATTAAATAACATTCAAGTTTGCTAGTTTATGATAAGCTTAGGAATGGTAATGGTGGTGGTGGTGGGAGCTGTGTGTGCTGTGGTACCCCCAATTTTCCGAGAATACTGGGTTTTAACTCTAGAGTGGCACATGGAAAGGATTAGCACAGAACTAGTTGAGTATCGCCATTTTATGAGACATTCCTTTGCCTACGTAACCCTTAGCTTCATGAAAGTCACGTTTCTGCCTGATCCAGGTCATCATCAAGCGACAGCTGAACATGATCCGAATCAGCGGTATCATTGCACGTAACATGCTCCCGCGCAAGATCTACTTCCTGATTGGCTACACGGAAGAGATGCTGACCAATTGGCTGCAATGCCCGGTGAAACTGGAGCTGCAGACAACGGAAGATCGAAAGGATGTCATATTCAAGTACATCTGAGCTGCAAGCGTGTTGTATGTGTGCTGATTGCGTCCATCCCTGCCAGGTGCCGGTCGGACTAGTTGTGTTTTGAATCGCCTGTCGCGGCGTTCGTGCTGACTGCCTCCGACGGTTTGTAGTGGATGGTGTGCTGGGCATCGTAAGCCGAGCATATGCCTTTCGATGCGCTTTTGAGTTTGGACCATCGATGAGTCTTGCTTTGAAGTGGTTCGACGTGCTTCGATGTAATGACGATGGGAGCTCGTAAATACACTTAACGTGGTGTTGAACATCTCTGAATTGCTCTCTGCTTCGCTTCTCACGACAGCTTTAAGGCCATGCATGATGTTCTCGCGGTGGCATGGAACCCTGTCGCATAGCACTGGTACCAGGACAGGCGTACATCTCTGAATTGTTCTCTGCTTCGCTTCTCACGACAGCTTTAAGGCCATACATGACATTCTCGCGGTGGCATGGAACCCTGTCGCATAGCACTGGTGCCAGGACAGGCGTGCCCAAATATGAAGCCATTGGCTTGGATTAGCTGGATGTGCCAACGGGGGATCATCCAAAGAGGCGCGGCGGGGTAACCGTGCTCGTTATCTGTTCCTTTCCAACGCCGAATATTTCGGGTAAAGGTTTTGTGGAATCTGAGCGAGCACTTGAAAGCCTCTCAAGCTGATCCATGAAAGGAGGAAAGAGCTACTGAAAGGAGGTAAAGGAGATACTCAAACACTTAAAGTTGATGATGCAATTTTCGTCCGTCGGTAGGGCATTACTGCATTAAGCAATGTTTTCCTGGAAAATCCAAAACAAATGCATTTCAGGCGGCTTTTTTAAACAAAAGAAGACACGACTTTGTCATGGTTGCGGGAGATAAAGCTTGACTTGGGACTCAGCCCCCCTCCTTTCCCACCCGAGTTAAACATACCGGAGAAGGCCCTGGACCCTACCCACTACCACCGTCCTTGATAAGCTGACATCGGCGGCGCAGACTGCTACGATTTACATAATGCAACCCGAAGCCAAAATACACGGACTTTAAGCAGCTTCTCACGACGCACCGAAAGCCTGCGAAAATACCAACGCGGCCCATGGGAGCTTCGGGCGTTCTGCTGCTTGGCCACTGACCAAACTGTAAACTCTGCTCGGGCTTTTTTATATGCGGTACGTTCCGTCCCGTCACTAGCGCATTTTTACTGAGGCAGTCTGTATTTGCGGACATTTACTATTCCTTGCTTCTCGGTTTAGGTCAGGCTCAGGCAGCGTGTGATCGTGTGATTATTTGCTAGCGTCATTCTACTTCCAAGTCAAATTTCGGAGCACCTGCGCAGGTATTGAGTATGATGCATTCGTTGTGATCTTGGGTGTGATTGGGCGTGATTCACTGCGTCACACGGTAAGGTTGAATACAAGAGGCAGGTAATGTGCCAACATTCGTGCTAATCCCTCTGGCCCGGCGGTTGCGTGGAAGTGGTATGAACAGCATGGGTGGCTCATTAATTGATGCATCAATTAACGGTGGCATTGGAGTTGTGCCGTCAAGCAGCAACATAGTTATACCCTGCTCAGTTGGCGCCCTTTTTAGACCAACTGACCAGCTTGCATAGGCGTAATTATGATAACGTTTCATTGTCACTGCACTGGTTGAAAGGCTTGTACATATCCATGTTCTTGCATTTTGTACCATATATATCATGTTGCTCATGAAAGGTTGTTGGTATGATGCTCCAGACTGTTGATGTCTGGTAGGGTGTGGTACAACGACTGCAAGATGGGATACAGGTGTCAGTGGCAGTTGTGTTAACTTGTTGATATTCACATGCTGTGCATGCATGTCAGAGGATGGTTAGATCAAGCCAGGAGAGGTGCCAGAGTGCTTGCACATTTGTGGAAGGAGAAAAAAGATGAGGTATAGATGATGTGGATAAGGGAATGCATTTTTTTTGCCTCAGTAAAGGGTATTTGAAGACTGGTTTGGGTCAACCTAGGCTGCTATGAAAATTGCATGATGAAAACAAGATCTGAGAAAATATTAACAGTCAGTAAACAAGGACTTTAGGTTGTTGCAGATAGGACAATGTCCTGACTTCTTCCAAGCTGGTCAGCTTTTGACTGCAAACCTTATGTTCCCTTTTTAAGTATTTGTAGTGGTAACACTCAGCGACAGTGAAAAATATGGTAATAGGCAAAGGGGCCTTCTCAGAGGGGCATACTGTGGAGCCAATTCTTTCCATGCTTAATCAGACAATGCTCATGATTTGTGGAAAGTAGGGGGTGCCATGCCCACACAGAGATCTCCCTCCCTTCCTATGCTTGTGAAGATAATGGTCACCTATCTGGAAACTAAAATGTTTGTTAATTGTAACCAGCCAGAGAGTTTTTACTATGTTCTTATTACTTGCTGTTCCCTATCTGTGTGATCTTGAATTGGCCATGGTAGTGGTAACTATAGACAGATACTTCAAGCATGGAAGTGTCATGCAATGATGTGAGAGGTTTAAAAGTGAGATAAGTAGAGCTTAAGACCTGAGCTAAATTCATAGAGGATGATGTCTAACAGCATTGTAGAAGTAGATATTGTTTTGGCAGACACATGGATGAATGGTAATGTCAGCATTGGTTACTGAGCTCAGACTGAGGTAGCTCCTGCAACTTAAAGACAGCTGAACAGGCAGAATCTGTCAGGCCCGGGCCCAGGCCCAGGCTGCCTCAGGCCAGGCCCAGGCAGCCATAACATAAGTTTTGATGTCAGTGTATGTGATAGGCACCTGAAGAGCCACCAGTAGTGCCTTGAGGAGCAGTGCTCTTTAGGGTTCATCAACTACATGACCCATCCTGTCCTCTGCCCTCCATCCATGGGAATGATAACTGTACCCTCCTGTCCTGTTCCCTCCCATCTGCTGGTGCAAGTGACCTGAGCCCTCCCATCTGCCAGAGTGGTGACTTGTCCCTTCTTCTGCTTGAGTAGTGACTTGAATCCTCTTATGCCCATTCCACCATCTACCAGAGCAGTGACCTGACCCTCCTGTCCCCTCCCCTCCCATATGTCAGTGCGGCGACCTGATCTCTCACGTCCCATCCTCTGCCATCTGCCGGAGTGGTGATCTGACCCCTCCTTCTCATGGGTGCCAGCATTGGCAGGTAGGCATGAGAACCAAGCTGGCTTAGGCATGCCGTCCATCCGCTGTCGCTGTGGTGTAGCAGGTATCGTTGTTGAAAATATTGGTTTGAAAATATTGGTGTTTGCGGCAGGTAGTGGCGGCGTGGGAAACTGAAAGAGGAAAGGAGTCTCGGAAGCCATCAAAATCAATGAATAATGTAGTTAAACCCTACCAGGCACATTCCCAATGCTGCCAATGCTAGCTGAGCTCTCAAAGTGCTGGTGCTGCCTGCCAGTCCTCATCGTTTGGCCATTGTCGGCGTGTGCGTTGGGCCGTTTTGTGGTCGACACACCATATCTAGACCTGTTTTGGTGGAGTGACGCGGGGCGGGTTTGACGCGCGCAGCAATAAGTCAGTCGCCCCCCTGGCGGCCGGGTCAAGCAAAGGTGGAAATACGGGCGTTCTCGGCAAAGTAGGTCCCTGCTGTAGCATCAGCCTCAGCCACAGCTGCAGCCACAGCCGCAGGTGTAGCCGCAGGTGTAGCCGCAGCTGTAGCCGCAGGCATAGCCGCCCGTGGCAGATGCTGGGACACCATGTCGACGAAGGGACACTGGGACACTGGGATGCTGGGACACCACGTCGACGTAGGGACACTGGGACACTGGAATGCTGGGACACCACATCGACGTAGGGACACTGGGACACTGGGATGTTGGGACACCACGTAGCACCGAAAACACACGCGAAGTGGCGTCCGGCGAAGTGGATTGCTGTAGTAGGTGTCTTGTGTCCAGTGGTGGCATTCAATATGTGGTAGGAAAGCATGTGTTAAGGGAGTAAGGCATGCTTAAAGGAAGTAGGGTGGCGTGCCCCCTTGTGGCATTCAAGATGTGTTGGGATGGCATGCTGAAATGGAATGCTCCACATTTGAGTGGGGTTTTGAACTGAGGTGGCATCTTGAAGATCATTCATTGCAATTCACAGCCCCACCTTTCCAAAGACTTCAAACCTTTTTGCTTCTAAGCTAGACGCCCGTGAACCTGTGCAGACTTCTTCGGACATAGTACTACAAGTTAGCCCGGCATGCATGCCGCCATAACAATGTCGCGCAAGTACTGCCACCCCATAGTCAATTCAGTGTCAAAGCCCAATATAAATGTGATCATCAAGGTATTCGTATGTGGCCTGCGTCGGCATGATTTCTGCAATCAGCGGAGTTAAATTGGCTCGAAAGCAATATTTTGCTTTCAGTGCAAGTTTCGGGCACGATTTGGCTTTTTGGGTAGTTGATTATAAGAGCCATTTCGACCAAAAATAATCATTGCAGGGCTATACTAGAGGTGGGGTGATGGAAGATGGGTAGCGTTGGAGCGGGACTGCGGGTGCCAGGGGGCTTACCGTCAAGTCTTGTTTTGTGCTTCACATTACAGGACTTTGGACAGTAGTGCTGGTTGTGACGAAAGGAAGGCTGGGAATCAAATGATTTTTCAAAAGCGCCACAATCGTGCATGCGAATGCAAGTGGAAAATGTAAATCGTGGATTGATATCCAAGGACACTACGAGAAAAGACCAAAACACACGCGCATCACAACAGTTGGGGTCTGCCAATCACGCACCGATTGCACGACAGTTGGGGTCTGCCAATCACGCACCGATTGCACGGCAGTTGGGGTCTGCCAATCACGCACCGTACACGACAGTTGGGGTCTGCCAATCACGCACCGATTGCACGACAGTTGGGGTCTGCCAATCACGCACCGATTGCACGACAGTTGGGGTCTGCCAATCACGCACCGATTGCACGACAGTTGGGTCTGCCAATCACGCACCGATTACACGACAGTTGGGGTCTACCAATCACGCACCGATTGCACGACAGTTGGGGTCTGCCAATCACGCACTGATTGCACACCTCTCGAGAAATTAAAATTTTACGAGTGGGTTCGCTGAGACAGGCATTTCGCGCCGCCAGTTCCGCAGCCCTGTGACGTCACACAAACGTTTGATGACATCAAGCGATGTGTATTGAGCATTGTTACTAAAAAGTGGTTTTTACAACAGTTCTTGTGCACTAAAAGCATGCCAATAGTTATAACTGTGTTCGTTGGGCTCTAAGCTAAGCATGCCAATAGTTACAAGTTCATCACATGCAATGTTTGCCTCGATATCTTCAAATGTGGCAGATTCCCTTTAAGTTTTGGCAAGGGCGACGGCAATTTCCTGAGATGTGAATGTGCTCTCACCACTTTTGTCCTTTGTTTTCAGTTGTATATGGGAGCGGCGTACAAAATGGACAGGTGGCTTGTTACTGCATTATTGGTCATTGTCTGCCTGCAGCCAGGTAAGAAATCACTTGCAACACGCAATAGCCCCTTTTTGACATAAAAGTTTCCAAGGTGGTTGGTTTTGAACACCGACACGTTCATTTCGTCGTGTTCTTGGCGTGCTTCTCGAAAGACCGAAGAAGATTTTAACGTCACGTCTGTGATGCGATTCATATGCTTACAAATTGTCTGGAAGGGAGCGACATCGGGGGGGGGGGGGGGGGGGGAGGAGGGAGGGGGGTCGTTTGCGCGTGTGCGTTGCTTTCTCCCTGCGCGTTGTAAAAGACACGACCGGTGCAGGCTGACTGACGCGACTGGGCGCACATCACGCTGGTCACGCTGGAAAACCGGACACCCTCTATCCGATTTGTTTGTCGAATGCGTCACATTTCCCATATGGAATTCCCGTTATTTGTTCACTGAGATCACACTCTTGTTAAGCGTTAACAGTCGGCTGCCCAGTGTGACCCTGTGCCAGACTTAAGTATGCGGAGTGAAACGCGACCGCAGACAATGCTAATGCGGTGCATTGTGCGAAACACGTCGCCAGAAACACGTCCATTATTCCGTCAAGGATTGTTTGTCAGCCGGTAGTCGACCTCAGCGTGCAGCCGGATATGCTATGAACCTAGTGTGATGCTGATCCGTCGCTATTGTCGAAGAGAAGGGACTCCTCTACGCAGTGCCAGGTCATCGACGTTTGCGGGATAACATTTTGTGTCACGATTGTGTCAACGCATTGTTGACACAATCCCGCATCCCGCTCCTTCGGTGCCGATGTGTGGCTATCGCCACGTGTTAATCGTCAGTTAGGTTTTATTTCCTCGGGACATCACTGAAGGAAAAGTCCATGCTCAACGAAACATATATCCTTCAGATATTGAAGCACATACCTGTACGCTGGTTCAATGCATAGTCATGGCAACTCATCTTGAAGTGTTCAGTAAACCGCGGTAGAAACCGGCAGTTAGTCCATACACCTTTCACTTCATTCAAGATGCCTGAGGCCGGCGCAGAAGGGACTCAGAAACACTCAGAAGTTGTGTCGGTTGTAAATGATTGGTCTTCATTTCACTTATGTCCATGGAGGCCAAAACCAAACTGATAACCGAAGATAACTGGATAAATGGGATTGCGTCATCACATAGTCTGCCCGTTTTACTTAATCCTGGCTTGTGCTCTTTGGTTTGTGGATATTTGTGATGCAGGTTCATGTATGCATATGCCACGTCCTAAGTGATGCTTGGCGGTCTCCATTTTGGGAGGAGGGATTCGGTGTTTGTATTGCACGCAGTATGCGTCGGCTGCTCTGAAATCAGCGGCCATCAAGGCGAGATGCGATGTGAGTGAACCATATTGCCCAAGAGCATGTACGTCGGAGCGTGCCCGAGTTCGCCGAGTGCGGGCATGATTAATGTCCAACCACGTGTTTTGGCTTGAGATGGGACGGACGCGGGAGTTAGCTGGGTTCATGATCTCAATATCTGGGCTGAAATCCCGCCACGAGAAGATTTAATCGGCACTGTTCCTCATTGGGGATGCCAAGACCTTTGACCTTATCAGTCACGTGTGTTGACACAGTCCTGTAGCCATCATGCGGGTCTCCCGTCCAGTTTTGATCGTCCCGTGGCCAGTGTGCGGTCTGGCCGTGGCGGCCATATGACAGATGTGTGGTCCGACCGTGGCGGTCGTGTGACAAGTGTGCGGTCCGACTGTGGCGGTCACGTGACAGGTGTGCGGTGTGCAATCAGGCCGTGGCGGTCGTGTGACAGATGTGCAGTCCGACCGTGGCGACCATTTGACAGGTGTGCGGTCCGGCCGTGGCGGTCGTGTGACAGGTGTGCGGTCCGACCGTGGCGGTCGTGTGACAGGTGTGCAGTGTGCGGTCCGACCGTGGCGGTCGTGTGACAGGTGTGCGGTCCGACCGTGGCGACCATTTGACAGGTGTGCGGTCCGACCGTGGCGCTCACGTGACAGGTGTGCGGTCCGACCGTGGCGGTCGTGTGACGGGTGTGCGGTCGGCCGGCAGGCGCGACGATCCGGTGTTACCAGTGCTCCACGAGCGAGGATGGCGAGGGCGAGGACAACTGCGGCGCGTACTCGGGCTTCGACGACACCAGAAACGTCGCCATCGAGTGCAACAGCGAGGAGGCCAACACGCCCGGCACGTTCTGCGCCAAGATCGTGACGCAGGGCCCGATCGGCTTCATTTGTGAGTCGGCGCCGGCTGTGGCGCGACCCCGGCCGCCAGCCGCCGGTCGGGTGATACCCTGCATTACGTAGCGCGTGACTGACGTATTATTTACCTGTATAATCCGAAAGCCCGAATCATCAATATCGCCATCAGGGATGTTTGTAATTGACGTGCGTGTGGGCACGGCCTCCAAGGTCACTTGACTACTGGAGGGCCACATAGTCGGCCCTCCAGAGTCAAGTGACCTTGCACTGGATTTCGGGGACCACCCTGCGGTGCTCACCAGTTAAGCTACTCCCGCAGTTCCTATCTCAGTGGACCCACGGATGTTACCT